TTCCAGTTTACGAAAAGCAGCTTGGTGACCACCCCTGGACAGCTTCAATTTTGTCCTACATTGCTGACTCGTACAAGTCCCTTGCGGCCAAAGGCTCTGAGCGAAATGAGCGAGATTACATCGACCAGGCAGAGAGGTACCTCAGGAAGGCTCAAGAGCTACGAAAGAGGCTGTTGGGTCATCATCAGGACACAGCTCGTTCGGGCGTTCAGCTTAGCGATGTCTTATTCCTTCAAGGACGATTCGATGAGGCTTTGAAGGAGCTCGACGAGGCCTTAGTAATTCAAAACGATATTCTGGGCCCCGACCACAAGATCACGAAGGATACTGTGAGCAAAAGGAGTGATGTGATAGACAAACGAGGATCAAATCCTCGTTAATTGCGTATTCTCAAAACCGAAACTAGAGATAAACCTCTTGGGTCTTGGTGAACAGACTGAAGTCTGTATACAAAACTTAGGCCAACCAGTATCTCATCAGTGTTGCCAGGAAATCTTCTTAATTCTTTGGCATGTTGTCAAAATCAAGTTTTTGCCTTCTTCTATCATTGTTACGTACGACTTTTACAGTTGGGTTCATCCCTATCGTGTGTATTGTGTTTTGGTATTGTGTATTGACAAACCACAAAATTAAAGCCTATTGTTACTCTTCAAGAGAAAATTACTTCAGTTATTGCTAAAAGGCCTTCCAATGCTCATACTTAACTCATAGGGATTTAAAATTATTGGATTTTCCTACTATTCATTTGTTTCAAATCGAGAAGTTTATGGAGCACAATTCAAGGAGTAATCGTGCAAATAATCAAATATAGTTAACCCTGATTTGTACTTATTCCTAGACGAGAGAAACTCAGCCATGAAATATTTAATGTCAGGACAGGCATCAACCTAAAGTTAATTTCATCCATTTTTCTTTTCTTCAAACAGAACCTGAGCAACCTACTCCCGATAGATTTTTACTTGATTTTCATTGGTCAGAATATGTGTGAGATGTGAATTTCATTGGCTAGTTATCAACTCTTCAGATGAAGGTGGCTAGTGGTGCATTTTGCCACCATCGCTGGACATCGACACTACGTTGAATAGTAGTTTTAGTAAATCCTGAAACAGTGAGATAATAAGGCACAATATGATTGGCTGAAAATAAGTGCAATTTTCATGTATCAGGGGTGTAAAGTTGTAACACTGGAAGCCATATTTAAAAAATCACATTGAGAACAGTCATCTTCACATTTTTAATTTTTCCATGTGTATTGCTACACAAGAAAAAATGATGATTACTTAAATTTATGTCAGTAGGAATCACTTTTGTAATTCTGTTCCTTGGTACACTTGAAGTTACCTTTCCCTAAGCTATCAGGCACGATTGACTAATGTAGGGTGGAAT